TTTTTTTTTTTTTTTTTAGTTTTGAGAGAGCGAGAAAATTCCAATCACACTCCCCTCTGTCAGCCTGTCAGCACAGAGCCTGACTCTGGGCTCGAAACCAACAAACTGTGAGATCATGACCCAAGCTGAAATCAAGAGCCAGACGCTCAACCCACTAAGCCACCCAGGTGCTCTGACATTCTCTTTACTTTATTTAAATCTACAATTTCATCAGCCTTAACTCCTTGCCTTTACAAAGTGATTATTTCAGTCTGTGCAAAGGTATGCAGGCAACAACGTCTTATATTGATTTCTTAATAAAGCACCTACTTAGTAACTTGACTAGCCATAGGAACTTACTTTGTCCAGGGTTATTTCTAGAGATTTCCCTAAACTCTTATCAAAGTTGTTTGGTAGTTCCTTCCCAATCTCCACCCGTTTCCAATCTGCCCTGCCTATCCCCTGCACCTCTCCGCTAAATAGTGGTAGTGGCTGCTGAAGAGTCACTGTATTATCTGCAAATGACAGTCACTGCAGCTCTAAGGGGCAGATGAGGTCCTGTAGCAAATGCGTATCCTCATCAAAATTGATTTACACTATGGCTAGAGTCCACAGCCCTACAGCTCAACTCTCCTGAAGGTTAAAAGTGCCTTTATAATATGGTCTAGAAGCCTAAGCATCTTGTAGATTTCCATTTCCATACTTCCAGGGCAAGGTCTACCATGTATGTGTCATTCTCATAACACTGATTTTCTTCAAAGGCTATTATTTACTAAAAGGTTTGATGGGCTTTGGAGAACACAGAAAATGCTTTTATGGGGTCACCTAGGTGGCTCAGTCTGTTAAGCATTAGACTGGATTTCGGCTCAGGTCATGATCTCAAGGTTCATGAGTTTAAGCCCCACATTGGGCTCCGACCTTATAGCAATGAGCTTGTTTGGGATTCTTTCTCTCCCTCTCTCTTGCTCTCATGCTCTCATTCTCTCTCACTCAAAATAAATAAAACTTTAAAAAACAAAAAAGAAAATGCTTTTATGGAATGTAGAGTGAGACCTTTTCTTTGTTTTTTGTTGAAGTGAAATTCACAAAACATAAAAACCATTTTAAAGTGCACAATTCAGGGGCACCTGGGTGGCTCAGTCAGTAGAATGTCCAACCTGAGCTTAGGTCATGATCTCACTGTGGGTTCAAGTTCCATGTCAGGCTTTCTGCTGACAGCTCAGAGCCTGCTTCGTTCAGATTCTGTCTCAATTCTCTCTGCCCCTCCTCTGCTCACACACTCTCTCAAAAATAAACAAACACTGAAAAAAAGTTAAGTGCACAATTCAGGGGTGCTTGCAATTATCTCCACCTACCCCCTCTATCTTGTTCTAAAACAACTTTGTAACCCCCAGGTGCAATCGATTTTTAAAAGGGTTCACTCATCAAGCCTGGAGAATTGTGGGCAGGCATTTTCTTTTTTTTTTTTTTTAATTTTTTTTTTTTTAACGTTTATTTATTTTTGACACAGAGAGAGACAGAGCATGAACGGGGGAGGGTCAGAGAGAGGGAGACACAGAATCTGAAACAGGCTCCAGGCTCTGAGCTGTCAGCACAGAGCCCGACGTGGGGCTTGAACTCACAGACCGCGAGATCATGACCTGAGCCGAAGTCGGGCACTTAACCGACTGAGCCACCCAGGCGCCCCTTGGGCAGGCATTTTCTAACAAGGAAATTGTGGGGGGAATTATTTCTAGAATGCTAGCAGTTGGGATATGAAGCATCTCAAAGGGAAGGTAGTGTGTGGGAAGGAGGCCTGTAGTAAGTCTTCTTAGTACAGGGATGCAGGGTCCTTCCTCTTCCAAGTTAACAAATACTAAACCTTTGTTATCAATCCTATTGTTTCTCTGATAGAATTGTTTAGAATTGCACAAAATAAAAGCAAATGGGTAGTGACTGAGAAACCTAGGTTAGAAATAACCCAGAACCAGGCATGTAAAAGACAAAAGCCCTGTGGACTTGGGACAGCCTGGCAACAACTGAGGAAACCGGAGCTGGAATCCAGGTTTAACACCTTTGCTGAACTGGAATTTTTTTTTTTAATGTTTATTTATTTTTGAGACAGAGACAGAGCATGAACAGGGGAGGGGCAGAGAGAGAGGGAGACACAGAATCTGAAACAGGCTCCAGGTTCTGAGCTGTCAGCACAGAGCCCGATGAGGGGCTCCAACCCACAAACTGTGAGATCATGACTTGAGCCGAAGTCAGATGCTTAACCAACTGAGCCACCTAGGTGCCCCACGAACTGGAAATTTTTTTAACCAGTGAAGTAATTTCAGTTAAATCAGTAACTTTTAAATCTCCCTGTTATGTTCACCTGTGCAAGTCAAACACTACCTAAACTTGGTGTGGTGGAATGAGAATTAATAAACACATAGCCTGAAAACGGTGCCTGGTACCTAAGGGCACTGAACTACTGGGTCCTTCTCTTGGGGCACCAAACTCAAGGACAAACTGCTTGAAGATACCGGATACTTAAAATGTAAATAACCAAAGCCAGAAATGTGACATTTCTATCTAAGTAACCTCTCAGAAATGAGAAGTAAAGGCTGAGGCACCAGGCAAAACAAACAAACAAACAAACAAACAAACAAACAAACCCATTCATTTTAACACATGAGAACTAGAGATCAGGGTGGCATATGCATAACTGGGCAAGCCAGTGCCTGAACTCACATTTCCTCACTACCAATTTAGGACTCACCTGTTCTTTCATGCTGAAACCAGATTATATATCATTGCTCTGACATATCAGGTGTACTTACAGGAACAGGCAGGCATGGCCTTACTCCCTAACTGCCTCTCCTTTTTGTCAGCTTCTCCAGTAACATCCCCATTCCCCCCTCTTTTGAGGCCACCCTTACATAAGGTCAACCCCCTCACCAACTTGACACCACTATGTCAGTAGCCTGTAATTTTTTCTGCATCCACAGACCCAACCCACTCATACCAAGCATTTGTTTCAACTCTCCCAAGGATACCATTCGCTTGAAAGAAATAGATCACAAGGCAATATACAGACATACTTCTCCAGATCCCTGACCTTTATCTAAGATACAAATTACCATTCAACTTTAGACTAACAAGACAACCTATCCAAATTATTCTAACCTCAAAATAAAACACAGAAACAGTCAAGAAAATCAAATTATTGAGTTTATTTACTCTACAGAAAACAGTTAAAACAACAAAACAAAAAGGCCTGAGTTTGGGATGAATATTACAAAAAAGAAAATGCACAAAAGATGGCAGTATAAATTCTTGCTAGGTTTAGACTCTACAAAAAAAAAAGGAACTTCATCATTTCACCAAAGGAGACAGTCGAAACTTGGCAAACAAGTTGCAAAGTTGAGAGGTGATGAAATGCAGATATATGAGGCAATACAAAAGGCATGAATCCCAACCGTCTCCTCAACAAACACGAGCAATCTGGGGAAGAACTCCTAATCCACCTCCTCAATGGTGGGGCCTGACCCAGAGCCCCCTCTGGGGGCCTGAGCCCCAAAGCCACCAGCCCCAGGGCCACCCGCCCCCTGGTACAGTCCGCTGATGATGGGGTTACACACCTGCTCCAGCTCCTTCCTCTTGTGCTCAAACTCGTCCTTCTCGGCCAAGGTGTTGGCG